CCCCGGTGTCGCCATTATGCTACGGACTGCACCCTACCGTGAAGTCAAGTAGTCGTGGGTCCGTAGGGAGAACAGAGAGGCACAAGCTGGATTCAGAGAACTAATGTTTAATATTTTAGGTGGCTTTACGGCCAAGGCCTGCTGCTGCTCCCCAGAGATTCTGTCCAAGGGCAGCAGCGGGTGTGAGTACAGCCCCAGTGCTTGTCCCTCGCTTCCAACAAGTCTGACTCTGAGCGAGCTGCACTGTGAAATGAGCTGCTTGCTCCCCTCTACTGCGACTTGGTTAAAATTCTCTTTATTGAATCTAGTTTTTCTTCCCCATATCTTTGTCTCACCAAAATCAAGGACTATTTTCCCGGATATAGAGGACTAACCAAAAAAAAAGGGGAGGAAAAAACCCCCACCCCCTGCCTCATGCAACTCTGTGTCTGTTTTTGAGGCCTCTCTGTGCACACAACTTCCAAAGAACAGGCAGAGGGCCGTCAACTGAGACAAAGTTGTTTATTCATTAACTTCTCAGAAAGAGGGAAACTACATCTAGAAAGTAAAAACGGCCAATAAAAATATGTTATGAACAATTTAAACAAGACATTAAAATCTTTGCCTCACAGCTTTAACACACATCCCATCTAAGAACAAACGCTTATTAGCGAGAGGCTTTTCTAGAGGAACCGTGTCCAGGCAGAGCAGCTCAGGGCTGCCCTGCCTCCTGCCAGGTCCATGCTGACCACCAGATCTTTTGACAGGAGAGGAGTAGCAGCAAGCTTTCTACAAGAGAAATGCTGACAATGAACTCCTGCTGGTTCCTGAGTGACAGTAGGTGTCCTGCGGTAAGGGAGCTGGCATTCCACGGAGAGGGGCTTGTGCTGCAGAGAGGGAGGGCCGACCCTAGCCCTGGCACCCCATGGCCGCCACTTCTTCCCGGCGGGGATCTACGCGCTGGCAGTCGGCAGCATGCAAGCACGGCTCACTCTCCGTGCACGGAGCTGGGAGCCCGTCTCCACGTCTGCACTCACCGGAGCTGCTTCTGAACCTGCTGCTTTCTAGGGAGAAAGACAAAGAGCAAGGGGTGAATCGTAGGCGCTGCCAGGCAACAGGCACACCTTCAAACTGAGCGCATTTGGATGTCAGCAGGTGAGCTTCTGGTGGGAAGTATCCTGCCAACCACAGCTCAGACTTCTCTTATAAATCATTCCTGTGTGCTTGGTGGGCCCCAGGCAGAGGGGAGAGCCTTCAGAATGACATCTCACCTGGTGCAGCAGAGATGTATACCTCTGACCAGGTATAGTCACCCAGGTTCACAGGCTGCTTCAGCCAGCAATCCTCTGCTAACATCGCCAGAGACGTGCGCTGCTCTGGAACAGGATGCAAAAGCCCAGCCATGAGATCCATGAGACCTGGGGAGAGACAGAAGTAAGAGGAACAGCTCAGGCTGTATTTTAGGCATGCTGGGAATGCAAGATACAGTTTCTATTCAAAGAATGCAGATTTTAATTACAAATCTTCCCCGTTAATCCCTACAGTTCTACCACAGTCTCAGTCACATATGCTCAACCCTGGGAATGATCTGAGATTTCCAGGCTGTGAAAATAGAGAACTGCAAACCCCGACTTGCTGTTTCCAAGCCCAGTCTTGTCCTGCAGTTATCCCGTGTTCGATCTGTCGTTAAAGGTGCACTCAGGGGTCAGGGAAAGTGTCAAGAATTTACCAGCACCTGCAGCACCCTGAAGCCTTATAACTGTAGTGCTCCTAAGGACCCCAGAGAACTTGCTGATGAGGATTTCTTTAGCCGGACATGCAAGTAGTTTTCTATACCTCCAACAGAAAACAAGGCCAATGTATTTTTCCTGTGAGGTCAAGCCATACCATTAATTTATAATTATTTAAAATTTAAATTATAAATTAAGATACGATCATCCATCCCAAAAGTGACATGGCATTGATTGGCAATAGCTCAAGTGAGATGAAACTTGCACTAGCATTACATGAGTGCCATTATTGATCTTTAAAGTTATCTACTAGAGTGAACCTTCCCATCAGGCATTATTTGTTATGGTTTTCTCAGGTATAAACCTCACTGATGCTTGACAAGCTGATAGGTTGAGTCATCATAATAAATGGGAGGCCTGGAATTTGAAACATACAGCAGATCGCTATATTCATTGTAGGCATGAAGAACTGCAGAACTTACCTGAAAAGGATACCTCAAGATAACACTGCTTCAGTGAGCAGCTTTTAAAACCATTGCAGAGCACATTTGGAAGCATTTTTCCAGTCTTCCCCTTTATTTCTGGAGAATAAATACTGCTCATGCTTTCCCAAGAGATCTGTTCCTTCAGAAAAATCAAAGAGGAAAAATTCACCTTTTGACACAGGCCGAGGAGGATTCAGGACAGCTGCCATGGCCTCCTCCAGCTCACAGAAAGGATTCTCTCCAAATACTAGGGTATAAAGGGTGACACCAAGTGACCACATCTCCAGCTCAGGGCCATGGTACCTATGCAAAGATAAACTTGCATAAACTCAGATTGCAAATACAGAATTGGGTGCTAAAGAAAGTAAAAAGAAAAAAGGTAGTTGATAGCCATTGTTTCCGATTTTTAACATAGGAAGTTTGTGAGAATTCTAATAAGGTTCTCACGTGTTTTTGAGAAGTCTGTATTATCCTTCCCCATGAAAGAAAAAAAAAACAAAGAACAGACAACCAGTTTCAGTTGGTGAGTACATATAACATGCACCTAGACTTCCACATGCATAAGAGAACTTAAGCCTTGTCCTTCCTCCACCAGAAGCCAAAATTATCAAGTAAATATTTAAATGGAAGATTAGACACTTCAGTGGAATCCCATTGATGTCCTCCCATCCTTTTCAAAACAGAAGTTATTTGGAAATAAACATTAACTATCTAGATTCCATCTGAGAAAAAAGGACAGTTTCTTCACACAGTAACAGGCTGAATTCCCAGGGCAGTGCTGCTTCATTTTCCATCTCGTTCTCAGCAGGGATTTCCTTTCCTCCTTGCATTGCTTCTTAGCCCCTGCCATTAAGAGCTGCCTGAAGAACTTACGAAAACAGCTGTGAAATGAGAGCAAGGTAACGTGCACGTACAGTTCATGTTCACCACCCTGTGATGGTAAGGCTTCCCTCCAGGAGCCACCTTCAGGTAGAGAACACTTAGAGAAGAAAGAAGGAGAGAAAAAGGAAAAGACAGCTTAAGATTTGTGCAGCACATCCAAGATAGCAGCAAGACATGCTGCAAGGGAAGAACCCTTCAGTCCAGAGGAGCACAAAAATCAATGGGGAGATGAACAATGATCAAACCACAAAAATTCATACCGGGAAGCAAGGAGGAAAGAAGGGAACAGACGAGATGAGAGTGGGGGAAGTACAAAACCCAGACATGGTAAGGGGCAGGTGCTATACAGCAACGCTTACTTATACCACCTCTCTAAAAGAACAGCTTTTAGTAGAGACATGTCAGTGTTCATACACAGGTATGAAGAGAAGGTTAGCAAGCTGATGTACATATTATGAAAGATTAAGGAAAAAAGGACACATTCAAGTCACAACATGACTCATACAGACTCTTCTACCAGGCTGGAAATTAAAATCATAGGCTTGTTCTTGAACTTGGCTCTGCAGTAGGACAGACATTAGTGCAAGGCTTTGCAAAACATCTGACCAGAATAAGAAAGCCTGTCAACAGACTTAGTCAGAAACAACTTTGTATGTATTCAAGCCTTTACAAGTAATTTCTGTCACTGCAGTGCCCTACTTTATATGCATTCAAACCTCTACAAGTAATTTTTGTCACTGCCAGTGGCCTAAATCACACTGCAGCTTTCTGTGGCTAGATACTCTAGTACAGTACCAATGGCTTCTCTATCGCAGCCTGGCATGCACATTTTTTGGTGCGACAGACACAAAAACTATTTTTCAGAGGGTGACATACGGTTTGCCAGACAGCACTTCTGGTGAGCAGTATTCAATTGTCCCACAGAAGGTATAAAACAATTTGCCAGGTTCCAGGTAGGCAGCTGAACCAAAGTCCACTAATTTAATTGTGAAATCTTCAGCAATAACAATGTTTTCATCCTTGATATCTCTGTGAAGGATGTTTCTACAGTGGAGATACCCAACAGCTGATACAAGCTGAAAAAGGAGAAAAGAACTAGGTGTTACTACACAGAAGTGTCCTTCTGGCTAGTCTATGTGGCATCACAGAGTTCCGAGAGCCATATTTTGGCTTGTTTTGACACTATATAAACAAGATACAGATCCTAGTTTTGGTAACTGGAAATGAACTCAGGCATGCCTGTCAGCATTGTGGCAGTGGGCGTTACAATGCTCTTGGGAGAGAAGCTTAGAAAAAACCTTTGCTTGCTTTCCTCTCACAAATGTGCAGGAAGATGGCACGCTATAGTCACAATGTGCTTGTTTTCTTGGTTAGAAGCATCAGAGCAATCCTGCAGGTTACTCTATTTTTATCCCAGCTTCATTTGGAGGGTCCTTTGATTTCTCCAGAAGGATATCACTGTGTGCCTCTGATACTGCAGGATGACAAAGCATTTAAGAGTGAAGTTTGGTATAAATAATATAGTCACTCCTAAATTCCATTCTTCTTTCTGCACGATTCATGCAATAGTGCCATAATTAAGAATAGCATCAGAATTATATCACCTTGGAGACAATCATGATCCCTACCACAATACATTTAAGCAAGAAAAGCAGATGGCTGAGGTAGAAAAGTTTCTATTTAAAATACAAAGCTCCCTCTGCAGAGAAATACTGTACAGGTCTGAAGTAACAAAGCACCCCTACAAAATCAAGATTGGTGTAGGAAAAGGGCTTATCAGCCAGAATTCTAAAGGGACTGTAGACTGCAATTTGTGAATGCATGCTGCACAGCAGACAGAGAAAAGGTGCATCATTTTGGCTACCATCTTCCATCAGCACCCCAGGCGAGGGGAGTGTGGACACAGCCACGTGCAATGTAATTCTTGCAGACCTAGACCTTCCTAGAGCAAGGAATTTCCTAGAGCAAGGAATTTACTCCAAAACCTGTGAGGCGGAATTACCTCGGGACTGCTGTTGCGGTTAACTCAATGAACAAAGGACAATTCAGCTCTCAGGCAAGCTCCTGACTCACAGTAAACTACCTTGAGTTATTTTGCAATATGCCATTTAAATTCGAAGATAATTTCTTGATTTTAAATTCCTTAAAATGAGGAGAGCCCTTTACCCCTGTAACCACCCTAAAACAAGCACTGACCTAAGTGAAGGCACAGCTGTTAGTGAGGTTTGGGGCAACTTCCAGGTGCTTTCCTCCTCCCACAGGGGAAATGTGACTGCTACATGAACTGTCACCCTGTACAGTCACAGCCAAGAAGTGATGGCTCTACAGGAAATCCTCATATGAGTAAGGTCCTGTAAAGGTTTCTTTGTAACAGGTTTCCAAATAAACCTTAAAAACGTTTCTGCAGGTAGTACTAGTTAGCTAGAAATCAGCCCTACAGCACAATGAGGAAAAGTTCTGCAGGTATTGAGCATGACTCCGATTCAGCATGCCTGCTGATTAGACAGGGATTCTTTTGAATGAAATAGGGTCCTGCTTCTTTATTAACCAAATCTTACCTGCATGTAGCAACTATACATTCCCAGCTCTTACCTGTCTGAATATATAGCTCGCTAATGGCTCATCCAAGTTGGGCTGATTATCAATGAATGTAAAGAGATCCAGACCAGACCCATGCTTCTCCATCACCAGCTGGAAGAAGTATTCATTTTCAAATACATCCAGCACCTATAAATAACAGACTTTTAAAATCATGTGCTTCATCCTCAAACTGCCTTTTTTTCTTTTTCTTTTTTTTTTTTTTTAATCAAACAGTGCTCTCCTCTTGGAGATTTAATCAATGTGTATTATAATCTTTGAAGTCTCATTTCATTGAGCACAAATGTTTCTTGAAAAGACAGCAGAATTAAAACTGAAAGCAGAATTAAAACCAAGAGGAATTCTCTTTCTGGGAAAAAACCCCAATACAACACAATAACCCCAAAACAAAGAACAGGAATCAAGATGTGTATCCAGATTATTTACTGAACTAGTACTTTTTCAGATGTGACATCACACTTCCAAGATACGCAGCCTATCATAACACACAGACATCTTTTCTGTTAGAGTCACGCCTTCAGATCTATGTTTACATCAATTGTTTGGGCTAAAAGTGTCAAAGCAAGCAAAACAAAGCAGGATAAGCAGGTTCCTTTCTTTCCTGAAAAGACAGGTTTAATATAGGACACTTCCTCACTCCTGAAGAGGAACATTGAGACACCAAGTATTCAAAGGAACCATCTGATGCAGTTCAAAGTGTATTCACTCTGAGTTCATGGTACCTTAATGATACTGGGGTGCTGCAGCTTCAACAGGATTGCTATTTCTTGAGTAACTCTCCCCAGATCAGGATCATCTACCCAGCAGTCCTCAAGCACCCTCTCCTTCCAGATGAACTTTACGACAACCTACACAGACAACAGCATTCAGCATCACCTGCAAAAGTATTTCTTTAAGTGTTTGGTAAGTTAATTACCAGGAAAAATATTAGTGAATCACATTACTAGAAGGCCAGAAGTAAGCCAATGTGCATTGATTATAGTATCTTTAAACATTTTAAAATTAATTTAGTCCTAGAAGCCAAATGATGCACAGAAATGGAATATAGTTATTTTCACTTTATTGATGTTCTGAGTTCCAAACGCTTTGACAGGCCAGCTCTCTTATCAACCTCATTACAGCAGTGGTGACTTCTGGCATAGAGGTACAGTGGAAGGAAACAAACACTTTACATCCATGCAGAGAAACACCAGAGCTTGCCTCTCAACACCCAAAATCCTTGTGCTGATAACAAGGAAGGTCCCATAACATCAACAAGTCTACTCTGCATTCTTGAGTCGTTGCATGATAAAGACTTTGAAGTTTGTCATTCTCTTTAGTAACGGAAGACTAAAACCTGTAATTCTGTTAAGCTTACTGTATGCTACTTTGAACAGGTTAAATTAGCTACACGGTCAGTCTCATTCTGTGCCTGTTGTATTAGGTAACGTTTCATATCCTATATCAATGCAAACGTTTTGTTGTCCTGTTTTCATGAGGTTAGTGATTTCAAATTTCTGTTTAAAGAAAACACTACCAAATAGCAGCCTTTAATAGTGTACTGTTGACAGAATATGAACACTCTAACCTTTCAGTTGTCATCCTAAATAATTACTGCAATGAGATCTAAAAGAAATACTTAACCTCCTGGTGATCTTCCTTGCCTCTGGCAGTCCAGACAAAGCCAAAAGATCCTTTGCCAATAAGACTGAGAGTGTTGTAATTTTTTGCGTATTCTCCCTCACATGCCCTTAATCCTTCAAGCTCTTCAGCTCTTCGGGAATTCTCAAAAAGTGAAGCTGATCTGATGGCCTAGGTACAGATGAAAAAAAAAATAGCAAGAAAAAAATAAGCAAGCCACAGAATCATGTTTATAAAATGAAGTAAATACTGAAAAGAAAAGACACATCTGCAAGAATAGCTAAAAGGTGTGATCTTTGATTTTGATAGCAAGAACTGTATGGTGATGTAACCATCACCATATGAGACACATTAAGTCAACAGTCATCTCTCAGCAGCTACAAATACTGCTTAATTCAGAGAACGGTAAAGAAAACAGAAGCATATGCACCTTAGATACTCGCACAAAATTCTCTGTACAAGTAGGAAAATTAATTCATTGTGGTCTATCACCAAATGATTATTTTATTTGGTGCATAAGAATTAGGTTACTTTCAATGTCGTAATTTTTCCAGGTAAGTGTATGCTAGATGGACAGAACTAAAAAGGTGCTGCTTTAAGCCCTGTCTATAAATTTCACTATTTCTATTTGCCTCAGTAACTTAAAGATATTAAATTACCAGTGTTTACCAAACTTTCTGGTAAGATAACATTTTAGTTCTGTAGATTGGTCTTTTAGCAGACATGAAGAGGAAACAAATTTGAGGCATACCCTTTAAAATTTTAATAGCCCAGTACAATCCCAAGTAAAGAAACATCACATGCCTTCCTACCACAGCCTGCACAAAGAAAATAAACACAACAGAAGTCTTTCTTGCTTTGAAGATAGGGCTTGCGGTTGTTTGTCTCAGTGATTATTAGGTTTACACCAAAGATGGTATCTAAAATGCATGATAACAGAACATCTTTATGACATACACAGTATTCCATACTGAGAGGAAAGACAACAAATCTCATAGGAGTATTTGTTTTGAATAGTGAAATTTGGAGTTATACATGAAGTAGTCAGAACTGCTTGTATTTCAACATACATGTAGCATGTACATGGAAGATGATTTTCTGAAAGGAAAACAAAAGCCACCTTATTACTCAGCTCTCAAAGGTGTCATAAAATATATTCCAAATAGCAAACTTTGCCAATAGCCAAGCTTTTCACTCAAATATCTACTTCATCTCCCAGCTCACTGACTAAAGGCAGGGGAGGGAAACTACATGTCTAATCTGCAGTGCATTTCAACAAACAGCAGCTCCTCAGAGTCTCCTGTGGTTTGGAACTGTGATCACTATAAATGTTACACACATGATGTCTAAACATACATGTACTTCTCTGTCAAGGCCATCACAAAATCCAGCCACGTAAAGATCTTGGGACTGCAGATATTTATTCAAGGGATCTAGAGGATCACCATTACCTATTTCAATTGATCAAGGAAAACTAATTTTCCTCTATAGCCTTGGTCAAAGTCCTGTTGGTTTTACATCCCACTACTAACTAAAAAGCAGGCCTGAGCGGTTCTGTGTTCCGGTTTTATGACATTGACATGTACCTACTGTTCATCTATGCAGTGTTAGCTTTCTGTACACCATCTCGAATGAGGCATCTCAGGAGGCAGCTAAAAACTGCAGTTTTCTTTTCTTGACACAAGTCAGTCAATGAAACTTTTCAGCCTAGTATTTCCTTTTTTAATAGTGTTGTCTCATTGGTGCCAGTGTGATTACATTGATTTAAAAATTAATCTCACCACACTGGTGCAAACCTCTGTTGTAGATGTACTTAAACCAGCCTAAGAACAAATATAAAATTAGGTGCTTTCATTGTTCAAATTGGAACAAAGACAAACACACACTACCAGAAATGTTACAAAATAGCAATCTGACCTTTTTACAGCAAATAAACATTTCTTTTGACATAAAAATAGGGAAACAAAGAAACAGCAATATCTGCCCACCACCTCATGACATTATTTTAATTTGAAAAACTTTTCAACTTTAGCTTCAGCTTAACAGTCAAACAAGGAGAGAAATGCTCAGCATTATACAATGGTAGAATGTCTTACTTCTCCAAGGCTATGTGTAGAAAGATCTGCAATAGACTGGGCAGAGCTTGCCAGACTGGAGTGCAAAAGCCAAGTCTTTCCTACAGCTTCTTTCTCGCTCTGTAGAAGGTCTTTCACGACCCAGACACAGAAAAGTATGGCAGGATCCTGCAGTTCTACACATTTCACTTCGAAGAGTATACCTGTAGAAACCAGTGAGGAAGTTCAAATGGTAGAAGGAAAACTCAGCATTGAACAAGACTGCGGACATTTTAAGACAAAATTCTGGGCTCTTAAAGTGAATTCCTTCATTACTTATTTGGGGAACACCTACTCAGTAAGGAATCATCAGAGGGGCTGACTAAAGCACAGCTATTCTAGAGATACTCAGCAGCTACCTCCATAGTTCCCACCCCTGGCAGAAATTTTTGTCAGTGTCCAATTGTGATTATTAATTAATATCCTTGTTATTTTATACAACAAGCCACCAAATCCAGGTGAAGGAGTGAACAAAACACATTCCATTACACAATTTAAATACCAGTTTATATTTTCTGTTCAGAAAAAGTTATCAGGTTCAAATCTTTTAGCTGTGTTTTAAGACTACTTCTAACTATTCCGTCTGGACTAATTTCTTAGTAACTTTGTATTTCACATAACCTGCTTTTCCAATATACTCTGAGTAGACTGAAATACCACTTTTTCTTCTAGATGCTAGAGCTTCTTCCCTGCTCTCTACTGTGAGCTTCTAACCAGAGCCATCTGCCTTCTACAAAAACGTGAGTGAAAAAGAGTATCCCGGTAAGAGTTTTGGGAAGGGGAGAAAGAGGTTTAACTTACTTAATTGTGAACCATCTCTGTGACAGCAATTCCCAGTATAGCTGCCTTCCAGAATCTCCAAGGTCAAAGGGGCTGCTAGATTCAGCCTTCCTTCTTGTTTCACCGGGGTTGATGTTACTTTTATCTCCATATTTTGCTGCCCATGCAACTGACAGTCTTCTTCAGGACTACCTTTGCTTTTCAGTGGGTTTCTGTTGATGTTGTCTCCCCCAGTCTCTGCAAGAGTTTCAGGCTTCTCAAGAAATGCTTTGGAGGATTCTTCAGAGTTTTCTAAATGCCTTCGGGAGGCCAGCCACCCAGAACCATCTTCTATGGCAACAGTATTCAACAGCTGCTTTTCTTGCCCAGCTGAAAAGGCACTGCTTTTCTGAGTTAGCGTATTGCCTACAGCCAAGTCCAATGCATTAGAGCAGGATGCTCCTACAAGAGCTGCACTAATACCTAAAGAATTGTCTGAGTTCCCCTTGATGCCAACATTCAGATCCAGTACCTGAAGACCAGAGCAAATACAGTTCAGCTCAGTGCGTGATTCTTTAACATCTTCAGAGGTTGTGGCAACTCCTGGTGCAGAAGCACTGCAACCTGTTTTATTTCCTGGGCAAACATCATTAACAGTATTTCTTCCATTTGCAAAGAAGGATGAAGTATCATTTGGCAGGCAGTTTTCAACAACAGTGTGCTCAAGAGTGGAATGTTTTGCATCACACGTCAAGTTTGTTTTTGACAACCGCCCTGTAACCATGTGGTTTTGAAAGTCCTGCCTGGGACAACACCAGACTGCAGATGATGGCTCATCTATTGTTGGTGTTCCAGGTGAGTTACAAGTAACAGCAGAAGGCAGCTTAATTGGGCCATACAATGCAGTATCTAGATTGTCTTCTAGCCTAGAATAAATAGGTGACCAGGCAAGATTTACTGAAGAAGCTTGTCCCCAGGCATCAGTGGAGTGCTGATGCTTCAGCGTTTCATACGGTAACCTACAGATCTGCTGACAATTTACTTCCTTGAGGTCTTGATGATGAATTTGTAATTGGTTAGGCAAGATACTAGTATCACTGGCATTTCGAGTCTCAGATGCACCAGATACTGCACTATCACTGCTTCTTACTGGAATCTTCATGTTCTGACCTAAATCCAACTGTTCTGAATCAGATGACATAGCAGAGAGCCTTGCAAAGAGCGTCTTTTGGGAATTATTTGATCTTGCAGCTTCCACTGTTCTAATTCTGTCAGACCACGTTGCAGGGTAAGGCTCTTTGTGGTAGGCTGACAGCCCATCCGTAGCAATACTGTCTTTACTGCAAGGATTCAAAGTTATTAGTGATATCATCATGACAGAAGAATGAGTAAACCATCGTATTGTATACTACCCACTCTTGCGTTACTATAGTCACTATTTAAAACCTGCACCAATTGTTTTATTTTTAAGTTTAAAAGAAAAAGGCAGAAAGTTCTTGGCACAGGCATCCAAAATCCTAATAAATTCCATCTTGACCAAAGAGCAGGTACACTCAAATGGTGCTCCTTCCCTATGGATGACTTCTTTCTCTAGCTTAATTTCTAAATATATATCATGGATCATTTACCACAACAAAAAAACAACACACATGGCAGGATACTTCCTGTCCTGAGAACAGAAGATCCCTTGTCTCCCCAACAGAACATGGATGCCCCCATCTATCAATTTAACCACGGTTCCCTGAAGCCCATAGCACAAGGTATTTTACAAACATTTCTATTAGTAAAAATGCAGAGTAGAAAAACAATCCATGCAGGCAGAGCACTAACAATCCAAGTATGATATGACACACACAAACCCAGGAGACCACAAGGAAACAATGAGACTATCAGTCTCTTTAAAAAGCAGCAAGAACTGTGCTGTAATAGTCTGTATATTAAAAAGGGCATTAAATCTTTTCTGAGAACAGTTAGAATTGTTAATGTGGAAGGCTTAAAATTTGTCTTATGATAAACCATGTGCAGAACTTCTAACCTCATAACAGCAAAAAGACCTAGAAAGGTACAATTAAAATGACTGGACTCTAGTAAGACAGTACCCTGTTTTAATGGATGACACTGAGCACTGGAAGGCATAACATTTAGAATTCATTCCAAGTAACCTGGCTTCAGTGCAACACCAGCTGGTGGATACCACAGAAGGAGATAAACACTTGCTGTTTCTGATCTAGCAAAGATAGAGATAATTACCTTCCCTAGCCTGGGTGAAGCATTTGGTCCCTTTTAGAGATGGAAGTCCTGTAACTTTACAATTGTAGGTTGTACAGATTTAAATAAAAATCTAAGGTAGGCAAAACTCAACCTGTCTTGCAAGTAGCACTCAGAATCTAAAGAGAGCAAAGTGCTCCCACAGACATCAGAGAGGTGAACAAAACAGTTTTTGATGGTGATTGCCACCACGGCTCTTCAGTTTTCAAAGTGAATATGCAGCCCATGAAATGCCTACCTATTAGAGGGTGTGGATGCCACTTCAGGAGGTGAGGGAGTAGAAAAGAAACCGGTCCCATTCTTTTTTTTAGTCTCATCATGTATTAATTTGTCATCTTTGTGCCTTTGTTCCAATTTCTGCTCTTCATCTCTTGACAGAAGGCTTGCTAAAGATGCAGCCAAGAAGCTGCTGTCTGTACCAAACAAGAAACAAAACCATACCCACTTAACCTTTTATGTTTAGGCTTTGAAAACTACAATGATTAAAAACAATCTTGGAACTGCCTTGGTCTGTCTTGTCCCAAAGGAATTGGGTATAAAAGACTTGATTAAAGTGGTCCAAATATGAGCACTCCATTCTACTTTGCGGTGAGAAGTCATCACATGCAGGAATCTAAATGTTTCAGGGCTGCTAAAATTTGCATTCCTATCAAAGCTCTTCAACAAGTATTAGCCTCCTGGGTTAGCCACTTGGATTGAAGTTCAGAGACCTAAAAAAAGGCCAGTGACCATACAAATAGCAGAAAAAAACCCCCAAAAAGTCCAGAACACAGGTGCACTCCCCATCCCAAACACTTAAAAGTTTAGACTGCAAATGTATACAGACTGAACATGTTTAAGAGAAAGAAAAGTTCTGGAACTTGAGGGCCAGGAACATGAGGACTCTGACGAAGGTCCATCCAAGGGCGTGCCTAAGGGTGAGTCAACCAGCCCCACGCATCAAG